CTGCTTCCAATGAAATAATGAAACAAGCCTGTGAATTGACAGGACTGAAAGCCCCTGCTTGGATTTTTTTCCCTCCCAAGGTGACAGCAGGACTCAACCTCCCATGGAGTGGCCATCTTGCAGGTTTTTGTGTGTTTTAGTGCATCGCATGGCTCTGAGACTCCAGAGCCACAAGGAGAAAAGTGAATCTACTTGCACTGAGGACTCTGCACTGCCCAGTTTGCAGGCTCTCAGCATGTGTCAGTAACAGAAAAAAATTGCCAAAACCAAGAATAAAGTCCTTGTACTGAAATACTGGTAATATTTGCTCATCAGTAGAAAAGGAATAATTGATGATGTTTACTAGTATCAGTTGGAGCTATAGTAAGAGAAGAAATGAGTTTACCTGGTTCTGAAATAATTCAGTTTTCTGTCCCTCAAGGAAACTCCCTCTTGTATGCCACTAAATGACCCAGGCCCAAAGGCTTTATTATATAAAATACATTGCAGCACAAAAAGAAGTTTGCTATCAGAAATTTAGGAGGGCAATAAGACACTGCTCAAAAAACTGAGTGGAGTCAAACCACTCAGCCATACTAAACCAGGCAGCTAGCTCTCTGCTGAGGAAAGGGCTTCTTGGTTCCCTGAACACACTACACATTGGGCAGAAATGCATCGGGTTGCTTTCAGAGCTCCTTGGGCACCAGATGAGACCAGGAGCTCAGAGTAGACTTACAAACGATTTAATGAGCCACAGGAAAGCTATTGCTTAACCATCTTAACTGAAATTTCTCAGGGCTACTAATGATCCCTCTGCCTACTTCCTGGAGTTTTATGGGGAGCACATAGATCCCAAAGAAGGAGACATTTGAAATGGAGGGCTGCTCCTTCCATGAAGATAAATACACAAACAGAGCTAGCAAAAGATACCTGCAAAGCTTAAAAGAGGCACCAGGAGATCCTACAGTAAATGCTACAAATTACTAGCGCTGTTACATGGACCAGAAGAAGCATCTGTGAATAACTGAATACTGGTCTGCACCCTTGGAAGGAAGTCACTCCCAAGTGTGACCATTCACCTCTCCTGGCTCAGAAAATGGTCTTAGGCAATCATTAATATGGCATTAAAAGCACAAACAAGAGAGTGACTCCATATTTACCTCAACTTTACGCCTTTTAATTAGGCTGTGTTAATAATTTCCATTAATATCCCTCTAACACTTGCTAATTTCCCACTTTAACCAAGATTCCAGATTCCAAAGCCTTGGGCAAACATCACTAGCTAGAAATTAAAGTATTTCATTTTCACTGTCTACATTTCTGTTTGCAATTTTCATCTATTTATGGGAAGCTATATTGATTTAACATTGATTTAACATGTATAATATGTGTACAATTTCTTTCTAAGGTAACTTTATTTGTATGAGAATCATAGTTTCATTAAGTGACATATTAAACACTAACATAGGGGAGAATAAAATATTTTAGGTAATACTAAAATGACTAAAACTTAAAAAAGACTAGATGTAGGAATTAGCTGCATAAAATACACCGAAGAGCATATTTTCCTCTATGTTTTTAAAAACTCATGATATGCTACAGTAAGAAAGCCTGGTGTTAATTGTAAGTGTGTTTCCTGTCTGTGCTTCAGTGTCCCGATAAGTAAAAGAGAACCACAAGGTAGGACCACAAGTGGGTGCTTGGCAGAGGCCCTGCTGTCTGGGAAATACTGAGAAGACACGAGAAGCCATCGGCCAGGACAGCTTCTGCCCTCCTCTGAAGCAGGAAGTGACCGCAGGGCTCAAATCCTTGGGCTTCCCAGCTCCCAGACCCTGGTCAGTCTTGGCCAGCGAGAAGCCCCAGCAGGAAACTGGAGAGTGAGAGCAAAATGGGGTCTAACATTTGCTCCCTGCCTCACTCTGCAAGGTGGCCCCAAACTCAGGTTTGTGTTTGCAGCAAAAGTACCCTCCAAAAAACTTCCAATTAGCTAGCACCTTCACACTTTTCTTACAGAAAGCACAGCCTGTGGTGTAAATACTCTCAATGCCAATATTTATTATTTAATCTAATTATAAATCCTGAAGCTGCTGTAAGGACAAATACCACCATCTGAAGTTCTGTCTGGGAAAGCCCTTGCTTAATCAACTAGTGTCCAGAATACATTGCCATGTTCTGTTATAAGATACATTTAAAAATAGATATGCTTGTGTAAACAAGATAAAGATCTTCTCTAACCCCACCGTTATCACTTAGTAAATTCTTCTGTTATATACATAAAGATACCTTTTTCACAAAATTAGGACCATTTTATACATTCACTAATTCTTCTACCAATTCATTAGTTCATTCAAATGTTACAGATGACCCTTCTGCCAAGACCAAGCAATGGGCAGGGTAAACAGCCTCTGCCTCATGAAGCTGACATGGAATTGGGAGGATCAGATAAGCAGGAAAACATTTTCAAACTGTGAAAAGTGTTGGGCAAAGAAAAGTGAGAGAAGTCACGTGTCCTAGCCCATGCCTCTAAATTCTAGCACTCAGGAGGCTGAGACAGGAGGATCACCACAAGTTCAAAGCCAGCCATGGTGACATAGTGAGTTCAAGACCAGTCTGAGCTACACAGTAATAACCTGTCTTAAAGAAAGAAAGAAAGAGCGAGAGAGAGAAAGAGAACCAGGGAGAGAGAGCTCAAAAGTGCATTTTAAGAAATGTAACCATTATTGGGAGCCTGTTAAACCAGTCACATGGCTTGTGAAATAGAATATGTGAAATAGGAATTATACTTAGTTCATCGTAAGTGCTCAGCAATAGGGCTGGGATTTAGCTCAGTGGCACAAGCCCTGGCGGGCAAGCACAAGGTCATGAATTCAATCCTCGGTTTTGGGGGGGGTGCTCAGTAAATATTAGGTATCACTAGTATTTGAAAAATAGCTCTAAAAGGGTTGGCATGATTTTCTCCCACTTGCAACAGAAAGGTCTTTACTGCCCTCTATTCTTATCTCATCATGCTACAAGTCTGCTTCTAATAATTTGATCACCACCCTCCTGTAGGTGGGTTATATGTTGATTATAGGCCCTAGCAAATACATGATAGCAAAAGCAGACAGCTCTCATTTTTCATGCTTTTATATTTCATAGGCTTTGTTCAAGGCTTTTCACATTGCTCAAAACTTAGGTATGGCAGTGTGTACTTGTAATTACAGCACTCTGGGAGGCTGAGAGTGTGGTTGCAGCCTAGAACTTAGAGAGACCCTATCCCAAAATAGAAAGAATCAGAGGGACTGGGGATGTATTTCAGGTGAAAGAACCTGGGTTCACTCCACAGTAGCACCAAAGTGGTTCTTTAAAAAACACTTGAGTGTGTGAAGGAATGAACGAGAAAAGTGCCAGGATACCCATAACAGAAAGTTGTAATTTGACACAATCAATGTGCTTTATTTATTTGTCAACATTCTTCCAATTTTTAATTCAAACTCAGTCACTGGAGTTTTTTATTTCAAATGTTGTCATTAATGTTACAAACAGCTGTAGACATAGTACTTATTTGCTTGATCACTTCTATCTCTAATTTAGTCCACAAAAATTTTAAGAAGGGTTATAAAGGTATATAAAACTCAAGATGAAGCTAATTAAAAATGCAAAGGAAAGACAGATGGGTGCAGAGAGCCAAGTAAGAACAAGATTAGAATCCCCATGCCTAAAACCCTGCAAACAGGTCATGAGTTGGGCCAAAATATTCCGAATATGCAAGAGTCAGCATGAAAAGCTAAAACTAGTGAATTCCTAAATCACAGCAGTCACTGCATGAACCAACTCTAGGAAGACTTGGCCATCTTAGTTACGAGGTCATCCAAACATGCATCCCAAGGGTTGCACCCCGCACCTCTAGAACCAAGCAGCACAGTGTGGACATAGGACCTGGACCACCGTCACTCAAGCACACTGTCACTCAAACACACTGTGACAACCGATGCATCAGAGGCACCGTGTCCTTGGCAGGAAAGAAATGCAAGCCAAGTTTTCTACGTAGGCGAATTATTATTTAGAGTAAAACAGCAACTTGTTTCCGTTGATGTATGAAATTTGTGATTTCTCCTTTCCAGGTGTGTGTTTTTATTATTTCAGGTAAGCAGCACATACCATTTTTACAGTAGTCAAATATAAACAGAGCAAACCTGAAAACTTGTCCTACTGTGTTGGAATGTGGTCTGCTTAGGTCTTAGACAATGTTACCCTCTCTGATCTGTGAAAAATGACATGAGAAGTTGTCCCTTCAGCTGTCTGGGGATGCTCCTCTAAAAGTCATTCCCTTACATCAGGGAGATTTTACTTGATAAAAATAAAAACAAATTTCTGCTTCCAGAACTAGACCAATCAAAATTTTGCAAATACTGTCTAACATGATTACGGTAGCCACAACTTTATCGAAATTTTTTTAATCATAGTAGACACAACACATTGTAGCTACTGCTGTCTTATACTTGATACAGTTCCAGACATAAAATAGATAATGCATAAGCTCATTAAAATAACAACCAGGTGGATGAGTGAACATCGCCAGCTAGGAGTTTTTGTCAATTGCCAATCTCGCTAAACATTTGAAATCACAGCATGCTTGTTAGGAGCTTAGACTAAGCAGTCAGGATGCCACTGCTAATTATCCTTGGAGTCTCAGATAATCTGGACACCTTGTAATGTCTCACTTTATCATCTAAAATAGGATGATAGCAATAACTGTTTATAGGAATTTTGTAGAAACTATTAGATGAGGATTACAAAGTCTTGTCATTATCCCTGGGATATAGTAAACATTTCATAAATATTATTATTGTTGTTAGTATTTCTCTTATGTAATACTATATCACAAAACTTTTATTTGCATTCAACATGTTTCTTTGTGTTATGGGATCATGGAATTCGAAAGGCAAGCCAAGAATTTGCATAGACTAATTAATTTGTTTCTATGCCTCACTTCTGTTTTTTTTTTTTTTTTTTTTCCTGTTTTGTCCTTGTTTCTGCAGGACTTCATTGTGACTGTAGTCTTCTCATTCTTGTGGCTAGTGGGTTCATCTGCTTGGGCAAAAGGGCTGTCTGATGTCAAAGAGGCAACAAACCCCAAGGAAGTCTTTCTATTAATGTCAGCTTGCAAGCAGCCATCCAACAAATGCATGGTGGTCCACAGCCCTGTGATGTCAAGTTTAAACACCTCTGTGGTGAGTACATGACCTCCTAAGTCTTCTTTGCCAGTCAACAAATAAGAAACCTTATAAATTTCTGCCTCCAGATCTAAACCAATCAAAAATGGTGATACTTTACTTTGGATACAAGGTCATCTTTTAGCCTTCAAGGTTTCCCTTGTCAGAATCCACATACTTTAATGTCTCCATTATGGCATTATTAATAAAAACCCAGTATTAGCATCTGCTATTTAGATGCAGTCTAATTAAAACTGTAATCCAGAAGCACATGTAAAGTCTGAATGATAAACTAAAACCTGCTAGGAGTTTAAAGGAGTATTTGATGGTGTAAATATTTCCTGCAAGAAAAATATTATTTAAGCCAACATAATTGGGGGCTGGGGATTTAGCTGAGTGGCATAAGTGCCTGCCTTGCAAGCAGGCAGTCGTGAGTTCGATCCCTGGTACCGATAAAAAGGAAAAAGACAAAAAAAAAAAAGCCAACATAATTAGAATACACTCATTTGATGTAGGAAAAATATACAACCTAGTAGAATAGAAAAGGAGACACAGGGCATAAAAAGCACTTATGGTAGTCATGATAATTTTTTATCTTGTTCATATTTCTGCTTTAGTTGCTTGAAAAGTGTCCTAGTTTCTTCCTCATTACTGGGACAAAATATCTGACACCCACAAATTAGAGGAAAGAGTTATTTTAGCTTACATGTTATACAGGTTTCAATCCATAGTCATCTGGCTCCAAAACAAGGTGGCGTGGCAGAGGGGTGTGACAGAGAGAAACAGCCTATGAGGAGCCGATGGGCCTCTCTTTCACGTTATCCCACCCAGGCTTCAAGCTTATGATTGACTGGAACCACCCACACTCAGGATGGGCCTTCCTGTTATCCACACCCAGAACTGTGCTACACATTCAGAACTGTGCTAAACCAATCACTAAGCTAATTCAGTTATCACACACCTTCATCTGGCCACCTCTGAGAATTTCATACAACCATAACAATAGCTTTAGAAAAGATGCACTGTATTAGTTGAACGAAGTCAGATTTTATCATCAAGTATATGGCTCCTGCAGGAAAAGAGGAAATCTGACTGCTAACAAGCACACTATATTGAATTCTTTATTTAAGAGTAAAAAGTTATGTTATTCCAAAGAAAGAGGCTGTGTCTGTGAGCGATAATGGCAAAAAAAAAACCCACAGCATTTATCAAAGAATAGGAGGTTCAGCAGTGTTTGTTAGGTGAATAACATTCTACAGCAAAACCTGAAAATAATTATCCTCGCTCCAAGGTTAGCCTGTCTTTCTACAGCTTTCTGAACTAAGACGTGGAAAGGCACTTACCAAAGGGGGAGAGGCTGCCACTCAGCTCCTTCTGTAACCCTATGTGTTAAAACCTCACATCACTTTTGCTTATTGTTGGCAACACCTATTAATGGCTACTCTGACGTGTACATTCACATAGGTAGTATTGCTCCTGAAGGTTGTTTATAAACAGTAATAGTGGGAGCAATTATCTAAGTAAAGATGAAATTGTCAAAGTACTTGTGGTTTATGAATCAATCTCCCAATACATTGTGACATCTTGCCTGGTCCTTTTATTTCTACTTCTGGTGTCTTTTAATTATTTTTAGATTACAAAATAGGAATTAAGAAGGCCAAACAATGTGATATGTCTTCTAAAACCAAAAAGAGGAATGGATTGAAACCAAATAATATGAGGTGTGTTGAAGGATGGGCCTAGTAGTGTCAAGGTTATGTGTCTATAGCAGTGAAGAGTCTTCTAGTTCCTCAAAGAAATGCCAATTCAGGCTGACTAAATCAAAAGAATTCTCATATCCTTTAAGTCTGGTTTTTAGAATCCACTTCTGATACCAGTGTCTGCATGCGTTCAAATGTTTGGGTGGCAAATAAGGAAATTGTCTCTAACCTGATCAGGGAAAACATATTCTTTGGAAAGATGTCAAGAGGCTCATAAATGGATGAGACCTAAAGAAAAAAGGAAGGGCAGAATTTAGAGGAAAACCAAGGTTCTAGATATCAGAGACCAAAGAATGGGCTCTTGGAGTGGCCACTAGCAAAGTTTTTCCTAATATTACATGTCTCTGCTCAAGTCACAAAGAAGAAAGGGTTCAAGCCATTTGACTGAAATTTGGTGCTGCAAAGGAAACCAGATTTATGTTATCAAAGTCAGGGAAAACATAAAGTTGTTCTAGAATTACAACTACGTTAGCCTTTAAGTCATATTGAGCTACCATATGCAAAACCTGAAAAGAATTGGAAAAATACTAGAAATGTGCCTCCCCAGGACAGAATCCAGTTGCAGGACCTGAAGGGCTGTCAGGAAATTGAACAATTCCCATCCTCCATCTCTTGTCTCTACCTCTTTCTGTGTCTGTATCTTTCGGTTGAGAATTTCTCAACGTTATTGAGACTAACACATTATTCTGTCTTTCCAGATAGAATTTTATTATTTTCCTGCACACATGGGGGAAGGTAACCACCTTATAGTTTCTAAGTTTATATTGCCTTGGAAAGAACAGCATGGGCTGGACTGACATCGCCCCAGTCCAATTCTAAATGATTGGTAAAGAGAACATCGTTAGCCCGCCTTAGGTCAGGTTTCTCAACAGCTGTACATGGGTTGGGAAATCACGTATTCAGAACAGGGCTCCCAGAACTCACCTGATTGGCAAGGGCAAGGTTTGGAGAAGTCAGACACACACTGTAACAAGTGAGCCGTATCAGTATAGGGGCAGGACATAATAATAATTATGTCTTCTACTTCAGGAACAAATTTACTTCCTTAAAGCACTCAGGGATCTATAATTTTACAGTAACACTAAAAAGTAGGGGCACTGTCCAAATATTACAGATGAGCTGGAAGAACTCTTAACACCACTGAAATCAAACCTTCCTAATGCTGGTGCCTCCCAAAATGGGAAAAGGCACAGCAGTGGAGTTGATCTGCAAGCATTTGAATCCTGGCTCTGCTGTGTGATAATCGCCCTTAGAAAGACTAATTCAGCTCTCTAAAACATCATCATCTGTGACACAGGGATAATCACAGAATAGACCACAAGACTGTTGAGAGGATTCAGTAAGATAAGCCACAAAAAGTATCTAGCAGTCCCCAACATAGGGCACACACTCAGGAAGTGCAAACACTTACCTGTGAGGTGTCACAAAAATGTATTCCTTTTCCTATTACATAGTGTTGAACCCAAAGGGCAGTAGGCAGGAGGGAAAAGTTTCAAACTTCTCAGTTATTATTAAAGGGTCACTGAATATGACCACGTGTTTCTGAATCACTTTCCTTACATCATTACATTAAATGGGTAAGTAGTATCTACATAAAGAAAAAGTAGCCTTATCAATTAATGTAAAATTATTAAATTAAAAGTGCTCATCCCTATGCCACTCTAAGGTAATCTTACACTCCATGAAGAATCTCTCATTTGGGGAGATAATGGGGTATTAGGTAGGGACTCAGGCTATGAAGCCTAACAGTAATGGGCTTGAATCCTGGATTTATTGCAACCACACAATAGTTGGTTGGACCAGACTCAGATTCTGGTCCTGAGCTTGGACCAGACTCAGATTCTTGCTAAGCCTCTGTGTCCACATCTTTAGCATGGCCACAACAATGGTACCATCCACTGATCGGATCGATACATGCCACGCTTTTTGTGCTTTGCCTGAAATGTGGCAAATATTTGACCAAAACTAGATATTCTGAATAAAGTAGTGGTTTTACATGGAGATTGAACAGGCTTCAATACTGAAGTGAAAAGTGAACTGTTTTTGCTGTGAAAGATACTTCTGAAATCGAATTTTCTCTAGGGTCTTTTTGTCCAGTCTACCAACTCATCTGCTCTGGTTCTCCTTTAGGTATTTGGATTCTTGAACTTTATACTCTGGGCTGGAAACATATGGTTTGTTTTCAAGGAGACCGGCTGGCATTCCTCAGGACAGAGATATCTTTCGGACCCAATGGAAAAGCACAGCAGCAGCTATAACCAAGGCGGGTACAACCAAGACAGCTATGGGTCAGGCGGTGGGTACAACCAGCAGGCAAGCCTGGGGCCATCCTCTGAGGAGTTTGGCCAGCAGTCCAGTGGCCCTACCTCCTTTACCAACCAGATTTAACAGGGTAGCATTGGCATTTTTCCAGAGCTCGCCTCACCACCTTCCATCTCAGAGGCAGAACAAATTTTTAAGAGTCTGAATCAATTATTAATGCAGAGAGTGTTGAATGTAAATCACAGCTCTGTGGTCCTCGTAAGAGAGAAAGGCCTGGGTCGTGATGAATGGTACTTAGAAATGAGATGGCATGAGGGAATATATTATTCATCACAGATGGTTAATTGGAGAATGCCTTGTTATATACATACTTTTATGGTCGTTTTGTATGTATGTTGAGATAGTGGAAGTATTTTGTAGCTTAAAGTCTCTAGTATGTTCTATTCATAAGGTAAATTAAATCGCATTGAGTTTTCCTATGCATTTTGATGCAGAAGATGTTTTAACAATTCTTAGAAGACAATTTGGTGTATCACAATTTGCATGTATTTTTGTTTTTTAGTTCCAAGCCCTGTAAGACTGCAAGTCTTTGTTTCAGATAATGACACTTTTTTTAAATTGATGATCGATGCTCATATAATTTAGTGCATGATTAAGCATTTTCTCAAACAACATTTGAATTGTATTTATGAAAATTTTCCAGTTTGCACTGTGAATTTGTTGAACGGATACTTAAAGAAATATACCTATTTGCTACTTTGTACTTTGCAAATTTCTCTCTCTGGCTTTATCCAAGTTCTGAATGCATTGTGACTAAACTTTGGGAGTTTTCTCTATTAGTAGATGATAGGTGTTGTGTATTGTATTTGCCCAATATCTGTTCTATCTACTTAGCTAAACATTTACATTCTTGTACTTTCCATGGTGTTTTGTGGTTATGTCCTGTAGACTATAGATGCTAAGGCCCAATAATTGTCTGTGTCTTCTTAGAATACTTGGGATGCAGATGTAAAATGCTGCTGTGCTGAAATGTTCATCTATAAGGGATATTCTGTAGATCTCCACGGCCAGCAAACATTTCAATCCTATTTATGGTAAAACTAATATGCCCCTTGATCCAATTATTAAAAATTCTCAAGTCACAATTCAGCAGAATTACTAATTCTAATTTAAATATAACCCATAAATTAAAAGTGGCTTCCACGGACCTCTCTGAATTCTAAAGAAGATTCCCATAAAATAGTCCTCAGAATGCATTCATTATCAAGAAAATGCTAATCTTTGCTTTTTCATTTTACTTCAATTGAAACACAGAGTCCAACAGGAAAGGCAGGATGAGCATCTGCATTTCCAGATAAAAGTCATTCTTGATGTGCAAACCTTCTGTGTGATCTGTAATACTGGAAGCATTTTAGCACAAAACAACTTTGTGTCTTAGATGATATCTGTAACCAGTTCCTTGATCTGTTGGATAAATCTGTATTGTGATTTTATTTGAACTAAATAAAGTGATTGCATACAATGCTGGCTGGGCAATGAAGAATTATCACAATGCAGCCTGGCTGACTCTGCCAAGGAAAGAACAATGTCAGATGCAGCATCTCCGATTTCTCCCCAACCTTGCTTTTTGAACCTGGAATGGTTCACTCTGTCATGTCACCATTTCAGCATGGGTCATTTTGCCACAGTGAGACCTCCAATGCACTCAACAAGGGTCAAGTCACTGGGGATACAATACTGATGAGAAGCATCAGACGCTTACTTTTCACGGGGAGAGACAGACATTAAAATAACCAGACTCTGATACGCAGTGTGCTGCAAAGGGAGGCCTGGGATTCTATAAACTATTGGGAAATGTTCAGGAACTTCAGGCTTAACACAGTAAAAAGTTTAATAAGGACAAAGACAGGGAAGAAGAAAGAGTCTCCCAGGCAGAGAGTGGCAGGAGCCAGGAGGGACCTGGGTGGCCTGAGTGTAAGGAGTGAGGAAGATGCGGCTGTTGCTAAGGGCACAGGTGAAATCTGCTTGGAGACCATGATGAGTCTTGTTTTAAGCTAGGGAAGCTAGGGGAAAACATTATGGGATTTTTAAACAAGGGAGGGACACAAAAAGATTAGCATTTTGCAGTGGCTGTGACATAAAGAAGAAAAAAAAAGAAAGACATTCTGGGATAAGGAAATAAGTCATAACCCATGATGTCTCGCAGACTGGGAGTAGGGCGAGTCCCCATTCCCAATTTCCAGGACAGGGCTCTGATCTGATTGCTCCACTCAGCACTGTCCAGGAGGAGAAATGGGCCTTGGCTTCATAAAGCGTCCTGAACACTCCAAAGTGAAGACATTCCCCCCATCAGCAGTGACTTTGACCTCAGCAGGTGGGGGCTCTTGTGTGAGAGAGAGACATGCTTCCACAGTCCTCTGCAGATTCCCAATAGAGAGCTGCAGGAACAGAAGTTTCACTAAACATGGTTTTATTCCTTCAGGATTTATGAAAGGTGCAGACTCTGCACTTTTAAAACAGGAGGAGAAATCAGTACACTAGGTAAGACTAGGTTTATACTTCTGGACCTACTTTGGAAATTTGGCTTCACTGCTCACTGGCTACAATTCAAGCTGTGAGATCAGTCACCCAGGGTTAATGTCCCTGCAACTGCTGTTTACTTGATGTGCTACTTTCTTCCTCCATGTGTCCCCCAAAGCTAAAACACCAGGGGCCCCTTTAACCCCGGGGAAACCTGGGCTTGTAAATAAATGCCTGGGAAGATACTTCTCATTTTTCAGTGGCCCCAGCCCTACCATGGGGATAAGCAATAGTCTCGGCACAAGGGATTGGTATCAGGGTGAACAAAGTAAGCCACATAGAGGAACTCAAACAGCGCCTGGCACCCAGGGGTACTATCCGGATCTGAGCTCCCTTGAAAGCACAGCCAGAGACAAAATCATGGGTGCTAGCAGCTTTGCTTAGGGGTGAGAGCAGGGAGAATGAGATAGGAAAGGAGGGCGCGTTGGTGTTGTTGCTGGTGAAGGCAGGAGGAATTCAGTTCTATCAGAACCTCTAAGTTCATTTTGGAAGGAAATTGGTGATTAGTGAGGAGCAGGAACTGGAGTTTTCACTCTACCCTGCTGTTAGAACTGCCTCAGAGGGTGGTGATATCCCAATGTTTCCGTTTCCGGGTCATACTTTCCAGCAGACTGACCACATTCCTGAGACCTCAAACATTCTCCTCAGGTCCTAGGATCTATCAGGCAGATAGGGACTGAGGAGTCTATCACTCCTTCCTTTTCCTCATTCCTGGGACAGGGAGCTTAAGGAAGGATAAAAGAGGAAATGCCTGCATGAGCGAGGTCCTTGTCAACATGAGCAGCAATGGCCTATCAAATGGTGGCTGGAATTAAAGGCTTGTCAGGGAAGAGCAGCATAGTCTCAAATTCATGTGTTGCGGTGATCTGTGGTCTGGGAGCATTACTCTTACCATTCAGGCTGGAAAACAGGTCTGCAGATAATCCCACCTCATAGGCTAGTGATGTCTGTGGAAAAGCTGGATGAAACACACAGCACACTGTTCAGTGAGTTGGCTCTAGGGAGTTGAAATTAAATGCAGAGGTATAAATCCAGCCTGTGCTTACAGAGCTCAAGAGTTTATAAGAAATTTCTCCAGTGAGCAAAATATAGCCCTTGGCATCTTTGGAGCTTACACTCACAACTGGAGAAATCAAATAACAGACAAGTAAACAAAGCAAATGTAGAAGAATAAATTTTGATTGATGCTACAGAGAATGGAAATAAGGCATAGGGCGTGTAGGAGTGGAGCGGAGTGGTCAGTCAAAGCCTCTCTGAAGTGGCAACTTTTAAGCCAAGACCAGAAGACAGGAAGAATAGGGAGGAACCAAGCCGGGCGTGGTGGCTCACGCCTGTAATCCCAGCACTCGGGAGGGTAAGGCAGGAGGATTGTTGCGAGTTCGAGACGAGCCTGGGCTACAAAGTGAGCTCAAGGCCTGCCCGAACTGCATAGTGAGACTCTGTCTCAAAAAAGACAAAAAAAAAAAAAAAAAAGAATAGGGAGGAACCCATTCTGAGAAGCACAATGAGTGCAAACCAGAACCTAAGGTGGTGACCGCCCAATGTCTCTGAAGGTTGGAAAGAAAACACAGGTGGACCAGGACATCTAAGGTGAGGCCCAGGGGTTTAGGCTGCAGCTGGATTATGAGAGACCTCAGAGGACAGGTACAGGCTAAGTGAAACAGGAAACCAGGGGGTCAAAAGAACAGGGCACTAGCATGGCTCAGCTGTCACTTTGAAAGGATCTGTCTAGCCATTTCCTGGCTCCTGTATTGTCCTCTAGTCAGCACTGAGAGAAACTTAGTGAAAGCTTCCCGAGATTCTAGGTACTATACTTATAACAATCTATAAATGGAAGTGCCAAGAACAGATTAATTCATCAGCTAACTTACTTGCAATTTATTAAATTTCTACTACCATGTGCCAACCTCTGCTCTGGAAGCCAGGGATACAGACTTTGAATAGATTAGATTTGAAGAACACCAACATTATCTGCATGCTTGTTGGGTGAATAGGGTATATGAAGATAAAGAAATAAGATATAGTGAAACAGTGTTAAATGTCAGGACAGAAATCAAACAGGATGGCATGAAGAGGAGCAACAGAGTTGGAGGAGGACTGGCAGAGCATGGGAAGCCAGAGGCCCCAGATGAGGAAGCATGGTCTGAGCCAGTGTGAGACCCCCTGAGCTCGAGCTACAACTCAAGGTCACTAGGTCTCACCCTTGGTGTGGAGCTGTGCTAAATAATCAGAGAGGAACACATACTTGTTTCAATCAAGTTCCTTGTGCTTTCAAAAGTTGCGACTACCTTGATTTCCTGTGACCCTCCCAGCAAAAGGTAGATACCACCATCTCCTTTTGAAATTGAGTGGCTTGGCTTGATTCCCTTACAGGTAGACCCTGAGACAAGAATTCATGTGCAGTGCTGGAGATATAGCTCAGCGGCACAGTGCCTACCTGGCAAGTGCAAGGTCCTGAGTTCGATTCCCAAAGCCAAAAAAAAGAATTCATGTACAAGTTAAAGGTTGGGAAAGCAAACTGAAGAAGTGAGGAAAACTGGCAAACCTTCCATTCCAGAGAAGGAGGTGGCCGTGGCCAGGTGGGGCTAAGGAGTGGTGGCATTTAGCACCACTCCTGTCAGTCGCCAGAGGATGGCTGCTTTGGAGGGGTGACCATGCTCCAGCACTTGCAAACCTCCCAGTGCCAATGTGCTGTGCCAGTGGGAAAAGCTGTACTGAGCATCCCAGCAGCTACCAGCAGGGCATCAGGTAGCATTCACACTGGGCCAAGTTCCGAGAGGACTTGGAGGGACCGCAGACAGCGTCTGCCACACTGAGGGTCACATTGTTAGACTGGTTGGCCAGCTTGATGGCAGGAGAAGGGTGTGAATGTCTGTCATTTGCCTTTTATCTGTCAGACAGATTTTTCTCCTTTAATTCCCTGGCCCACCCAAAGTATGCATACTACTTTTATCCAATACGCCATGTGATTCTACCTACACGTCCAAAGGTATAATTTTGATAATATCTATAAAGTAATAACTTTTACCTATTTTAATTATTTAGGCAGACAGTGAACTATATAAGCACTTTGCACTTAGCCATATTAACACATGCTAGAAATACTAGTATTATTCCTATACAACAGGTTAGAAACTCCAAATTGATAAAATTGGATAATGATGAAATCCTTCTGTCTACCTTGGCCAATACAGTAATTTTTAATTGCTTCTATCCACTGAGTACCTAGCTAATCTACACAGAGAACAAAGTTACACACTCTGCATCTGTTTTCATATTTAATATTTCAAAGATGTGGAAGATAAAATACTTATACCCATTTAACATGCAAGAAAACTGAGATACATGAGACTAGATGCAAGTGACCACTTAAGGTCACTGAGATGAGAGAGGGAAGATCTACCACAAGCAGAAATCCAGGTACCTGTGCACCCAAAACTCCCAGTTGTAAAGTAGCTTTATAAATCACGACAGTGCTATCTTTTAAGCCCAGTATGTTTTGCCAGGCCAACAAGGGTACAACTAACAGATCCAGACCACTGTTAAAGGTCTGGTTGAACTAACAATGATTTCATGACATGCTGGATGGAGCCCAAGCTTTGCTGGGCTTCAGAGCTTAGCAGAATTATTTCAGCAACTGTCAGCAGCCACCACTTCCATGCAGGGCCCTGGGTCCTCCAATTACACCTGGAGACTTACCTCTGTGAATAATATGTAGTGGATGCAGATGGGCCAGCATAATCACAGCGCAAACCTTGTATTTCTGGAAGTCTTGTATTTCTCTGAAAATATCTGAACTCTAATTGAGAATTTCCTTTCAACAGACAGGCTCCACTATCTGTGCCCTGGTTTATTGAACAAAGCACTTGAAGGCAGTCATAATAAACCTAAGAGGTTTCCTGGTGATGGAGAAGGAGTTTACCTTTGAGCCTCTTCTATTCT